ATTTGCAAAAATTTATATTAAGAAAAGTAAACCCTAGAATCGTGCATGATTAATACAAACCGCATTTTTTTATGTAAAGTAGCACTCCAACGATGACATCTTTGTTTTTATTAACATTTTAACCACACATAAAAAAATACTCAAACAAAAACATATTCTACGAAATAACAAGTTTTTATTCTAATTAAGAAAAAGATAAAAAACAAGATCTTTAATTTCAGCCATTTTCTTCTATGTCTAATTTTAATCTTTCCATTACCATTTCCAGTGCCTGTTCGGCATCATTTTTTGTTACTAGTCTGTTATCAGTCTCTTTACTTTCTGCTAGTCTCTGACCAATTTCTTACTTTCATTATTAGTCTCTTTCCAGCCTCCTTTCTTTCCGTCCTAGCTCTTTCTTCTCTTTTCAAGTTCTGTTCATTCTTCTTCTTCTACAATTAGTCTTTTTTTAGACATCATACTTCCAGTAACCAGACATACGTCTAATCCTAGTCTTTCCTTTGCAGAATCTTTCAAATTTCCTTTCTCATTATCAATGCTCTTTCTTCTTTTTCCAAATCCTGTTTAGTTTCTTTACTTAACTATTAAAGAGATATTAGCCGAGGTTGCTTGCGGCCGAGGCGCTACAATGTTAACTATTAAAGAGATATTAGCCAAGGTCGCTAGCGGCCGAGGCGCTACGTTCTATCACTATAAAGTGTAAGCAACCCTGTTACCATAATCTGCACCGTTAAAGTGATAGTAGCCGAGGTTGCTTGCCACCGAGACGTTATAAACTTCGCTTACAATGCATTTGCTATTAATTGAAAATAGTGATATTTCCAATTTTTTTCAACTTTAGTTATAATAATCCTTTCTCGTGACTCTCATTATTAAGTAGCGGATGTAGGCAATAAAATCATTATAAACGGTTTGTGGAAAAATGTCTGAAAGGGGTCTAAAGATTTAAATTTTTTTTGCATTTTTTTTGTGTAGATTTTAATTTTTTCAACCATTTTTAAACGAGTTATGACGTCATCGATATTTTTTTCAAATGGAAATCCCCCATCTTTATTACGAAATATGAAAGACGATGTTTTTCTGAATCTAGTACAGTCAATATTAATATTGGTTACATCAGAAAAATTACTTTAAAGTTAAACTACTTCAAATTTGATGACATGATAAAAATAGCATTAGCCATGACTAATTGACTATTTTAAACAATTATCTAAGTGTCAAAAAATGATTTAGTTACTAAATCACCTCCTTAATGCAACATTTCCTGATTGAAAACTGCTTAGCTCATCAGTTGGTAAGCCTAGCTGTGACTAAATTTAAAAAGTATGGATATCTTCGATATTTCTCAAAGTCTGCCCGACCAAATGTTTCAAGAAAGGTTCAACAAAAGGTGGTTTTGGCTGGGCAAGGAATTAATTATGTTATTGTCAGGGGTGTTGGGTCGAATTTGGACATTAGAAAATCAACGGTTCATACAATTTTAAATACTGCAAAATATTATTCCTATAAAGTAAACCTCATTCACGATCAATGAGTCGTGAGTAGCTTTTTGAACAACAATTTTGCTACGAAGACGAAGGCTTTGTCAAAAATATATTTTTTCCGATGACATACACATCGAGTGGCCAAGTAAATAGACAAAATTGTCGGTATTGGGTTACCCAAAATCCAGATTGGACAAGAAAGTCGCACACCCAATACCCGCAAAAAATCTATGTGTGGAGCGAAATAGTATTTGATACTATCCTGAGTTCCTACTTTGTGAGGAATCCTTACCTGGAGGGGGATGTTTAGGTTTTTCAAAACGATATCATAATGTTGTCCCACCTGAATTCTAATGGTAGTTATTTCAACAAGGTGGTGCACCACCACACTTCAACAAGCTTTACTAAATCACTTTTTGACACTTAGGAAATTGTTTAAAATAATTGGTTACCATAGTTACTTATGGCTACTGCTATTTTTATCATGTTAGCAAAGAAGTTGAAGAAGTTAATCTTTAAAGTAACTTTTCTCGAAAAATTTCTTATGTAACTAATATTAATATTGAGTGAACTAGATTCAGAAAAAGATATTGTTTGATATTTCGTAATAAAAATGGAGGATTGCCATTTAAAAAAAATATCGATGATGTCATAACTCGTTAAAAAATGGCGGAAAAAAATTAAAATATATACCAAAAAATTGCAACAAATTTAAATCTTTAGACCCGTTTTAGGGATTTTTCCATAAGCTGTTTATAATGATTTTATCGTCTATATCCGTTACTTTACGGACACACTGTATAAGTAATACATGAAGAGAAGCTGGTGAAAGAAAGAAGACGCAGAGTATCTGTTTATTCTCCCTCCTTTCTGCATAGTCTCCTTTTTCTCTTTCCAGTATCTGTTTTTTTTCTTTCGCTAGCGTTATTCTTAGCTATTTCTTGGTTCTGCTGAAACACGAGGTGTTGAGATGTGTTTGATATCCAGTCTGCTTTTTTTCTTTTCCAGTCTCATTTTACTAGTCTGTTTTCAGTCTCCTTTTTTCCTATCTAATTTTTTCTTTCTTTTCCCAATTTCTGTTTAGGCCGCCTTTTGTGTTTTCAGACTCCGTTCAGACTCTCTTCTCTCTGGCCACTTTCTTTTTATCCTTTTCATACTCTGTTAAGTGAATTTCTAATCTTACCAGTCATCTTCCTGTATTTTCAGTCTCGGTTCTGCATCTTTCTTCTATTACCAGCTGGAAAGAGTCCAACCTCCCTTCTCTATCTACCCACATATTAGTATTTCTTCTAAATCCCTACTTTCTGCTCAGTTTTTTCCACTTTATCTCAATCCTGTCTCTGACCAGTCATCTTCCTGTATTACCAAATTCTTGCCGGTCTTTATTATCTCTTCTCTACCATTTTTTTCTCTCTCAACATTACGCTCAGCTTTTTTCTTCCATAACCAGTCTGTTTCCAGTCTCTGTTTGCTTTTTCTTCAGTTTCTTTCTTATATTACCATTTAGCAGTATCACTTTTTAGTCTCTGTTAAGTCTCCATTTTCTATTACATGTTTTTTTCAAATTTTTTAATTTCTTGTTTTAGCAGATCTCTTTTCAGCTTCTCTCTCCTGTTACCACTTTTTCCAGTTTCTGTCAACCTTTATTTAATTTCAAAATTTTTTAGTATATGTCTAAAACATCTCTGTACACGTGATAGATGTTGAATATTATGGTTCTTCTAGGATTTATGTGTGAAGCAGAAATTAAAGTAGAATAGTTATGAAGAATGGTATAATTATGTTTTCTTTAAATTTGTTTTGGATCTATTTTTTTAATGCAGATGGCATAGCTAATTTCCTATCATCTAATATTTTTCTATTCTTTACAGTTCTTTTGCTACTATATTATTTATTCTTAACCACGATATTTAAATTAATTCCTCATTTTATCCTTGATCTTCACTTCTGTTTTACATTTTAAAATATGTTAGAGAAATTGCTAAAAATTGCAGTAAATCTTATATTATATAAAGATTTGAATAACAAAATATTTGCATAACTTTATATTAAGAAAAACAAACCCTAGAATCGTGCATAATTAATACAAATTGCATTTTTTAAATGTAAAGCAGCACTCCAACGATGACATCTTACTTCTGCCTTTTTTATTATCATTTTAATCACATAAAATACTTAAATAAAAACAAATTCTGCGAAATAACAAGTTTTTATTCTAATTCAGAAAAAGCATCAAAAACAAGATCTTCCTGCGGTATCATCTATATAAGCGTCAATAAAGCGAATATTCAGTCATTCTTCTTAAACCATTCTTTAAAGACGAAATATTTGTTAAAATGAAGGTAATATTTTTGATTTTTACGAAATTGATGTTTATTTATAAGAGTTATTTTTGTGTTTTTTTGCAGATAATCATTTTATTTTGTGTATTCTTCGTGATGGTTTGGTCTTATCCAGCAAACGAAGAAATTTTACCAGCTAGCATCGATAATATCGCTAATACAGAACTCGTTCTTCTCGCTGATGAAATTGATGTTGATGGCTCTTTAGAAACTTCGGAAACTAGAAATATTCGTTATAGAGGTGGCGGTAGCCCTCGTCAACCTCAGCCCCGCCGACCCCAAGTACAGCAACAACAGAGATTTGGAAAATAAGAACATCTTATAAAAAACCCTGCGATTTCTTTATTTCTTAAATAAAGTAAAAATTTAAAAAATTATATATACATTGTCTTTTTTACAACTTTTAAGAATATTTAAGTTAAATTGAATCGAATTTGTTTTTGGGAACGTCAGCGAAAGCGATGTTTGCAATACATTTCTCGAAATTATACAAATTTTGTTTACAAACTGCGATTATCTCATTTAAACTTGTCTTGGTTAAGCTATATTCAAGTTTAGTATTTTTTAATATATGTCAGGAATATCTCTGTACACGTCATACATGTTAAATATTGAAACCTGATTTTCGTATTTGATTTCTTTTTGAATTAATTGATTGATTCTTAGGTCCTACGAATCCTAGACTCTAGGATTTATGTGTGCGACAGAAATTAAAGTAGAATGGTATGATGTATTTTCCTTAAATGTGTTTTGGAGCCATTTTTTCAATGCAGATGGCATAACTGATCTCTATCATCTGTTATTTTTCTATTCTTTCCAGTTCTTCTACCACTATATTATTTATATTTAGATTATTTATTCACTTTATCCCTGTTCTTTACTTCTCTATTGCACTTTCGATGTTGGAAATCTTACGATGACCGGTTTTACATAAAATATGTTACCGAAATTGCTAAAAATTGCAATAAATCTTATATTATATAAAGATTTGAATAACAAAACATTTGCAAAAATTTATATTAAGAAAAGTAAACCCTAGAATCGTGCATGATTAATACAAACCGCATTTTTTTATGTAAAGTAGCACTCCAACGATGACATCTTTGTTTTTATTAACATTTTAACCACACATAAAAAAATACTCAAACAAAAACAAATTCTACGAAATAACAAGTTTTTATTCTAATTAAGAAAAAGATAAAAAACAAGATCTTCCTGCGGTACCATCTATATAAGCGTCAATAAAACCAACGAATATTTAATCATTCTTCTTAACCCATTCTTTAGAGACGAAATATTTGTTAAAATGAAGGTAATATTTTTGATTTTTACGAAATTAATGTTTATTTATAAGAGTTATTTTTGTGTTTTTTTTGCAGATAATCATTTTATTTTGTATATTCTTCGTGATGGTTTGGTCTTATCCAGCAAACGAAAAAAATTTGCCAGCTAGCATCGATAATATCCCTAATACAGAACTCGTTCTTCCCGCTGCTGAAATTGATGACGCTTTAGAAACTTCGGAATCTAGATATGGTCATTATGGAGGTGGACATTATGGTCATTATCACCATCACCACCATCACCATCACCCGCATCATCATGGATGGGGAAAATAAGAACGTCTTATAAAAAAACCCTGCGATTTCTTAATTTCTTAAATAAAGTAAAAATTTTAAAAATGATACATTGCTTTTTTTATCAACTTTTTAAGAATATTTAGGTTAAATTGAATCGAATTGGTTTTTATAAACGTCAGCGAACACGATTTTTACAATACATTTCTCAAAATTACACAAATTTTGTTTACAAACTGCGATTATCTCATTTAAACTCATAAATTAATCGTCATAAATATAAAAAGAAAACATGTTATCACAGTGCATATATTGACTTTCTATTAATCAGTGAACTCGAGCAACTGCAAGACGAATTACACTTATTTAACAAGTTATGTACATAATACAATCGCAAAGAAGAATGTTGTTTCAATTCAAGGTAATTTATTAATTCTTAAAGTTAGTAAAATAAATTGATTTCTTTTCTTTTAGATTTTTATTTTTTTCTTCGTTACACTAACAACTGTATTTTCAGCAACAAATAAGGAAGGATGGTCGATGAAAACCGGCGAAGTATTTAATGAAAAATCAAAAATTACGGTAGCTAAAAGCAGCGAGGAAATTTTAATGCCACCCTCGTTTTGGCACGAATATACACCATTTGGAAATCGTAGAACTGCTCATATTGGTCGTCAAATTAGATTCCCCATTCGTAATAAGCCTCCGTCACATCGTCTACCTCTTTGGAATGAAGATGCATTTATTAACGATTATAGCGAATATTGACTTTATAAATATTTCTTTTCAATAAAATGATTAATAACACATTTAATTCTTTCGATATATTTTTTTTCGTTTTTAATTTTGTAAGATAAACTTTCGAGCATTGTTTTTTTCTCGCTGTTATTTAATGGGACATCATCGGGATCAGTAAATGTTAATTTAATGACTATCGTAGACAATGCCAGTCCATATCTGGAAAACTTCCTCCATTCCTCATCAAAATCGTCTTTTGGGTACAACATACTTAAATCACTACCAAGTAAGTTGATGTAAAAACCGAGTTTGTTGTAATAAAAATTCAAGAAATAATCGATTTTTTCCATTTGTTTTAATTCACAAGTTCCGTAAATTAAATAAGAAAGGTCGATTACTGGTGAAGTTACTTTTGTTAATTGCCAATCAAGAAATGAAACTCTTATAGGGTTGTCGTCATCGTCTTCCTGAAAAAATTAAGAACAATTTAACTTTGTATCTCAAAAACGAGGTAAGATATTATCATGAAATAAAAACCATTTTAAAGTAAATTTAATTAATATTTGATGTGTAAATTAACATCTTTTTATACCTATAAATTTTGAAGTTATGATTTTTTTAATACTTTTCCATTTATAAGGAGTAAAATTTATAAACTCCAACTTTAAAAAATTATATCTCCTAAACTAATTGAGATATCGAGTCGAGGTAAAAACCATTTTTTAGTAAAAATAATCAAGTGTCAACACACCAAATATAATTCTTTCGATTTCATAAATGTCAATCTTACGATTTTTTTAATTCAAGTCTGAATAGTTATAGAGGTTAAGTTGGTAAACGAACTTTTTAAAAAATCGTATCTCAAGAACGAAGTGAGATATTACCATGAAATAAGTACCATTTTGTAGCAAATTTAATTAACATTTAATGTGCAAAAAATCATTTCTTTATTTCTGCAACTTCCGAATTGATGATGTTTTTAATCCATCTACTTATGAGGGGTTAAATTGACATATCGAGTCGAAGTAAAAACCACTTTTTAGTAAATTTAATCAAGTTTCGATTGAGGTCCAACGATCTTTTTAAGAAATCGTATGTCAAGAACCAAGTGAGATCTTATCATGAATTAAAAACATTTTAAAGCAAATTTTACAAAATATTAAAAATAACCTTACGTTATATCCAAATAAAATGTTGTTAAGTGTTAAATCACCATGATTAAGAACATTAAAACGGCCATCAAAATTATCCAGGAACGATAAGAATTCTTTTATTGAATCGACGTGCGATTTAAATACTTCATATCCAAAAAAAGTGTTTGAGTCCAATTTTTCAAGTACATTCTTCGATAAGAACCATACGGTTTCTAGATAATCTTCTTTAATAGTTTCAGAAGCAGCCCAAGAAACGTTTTTGACGATTTCCTTAAACCGATCGGGTTTTTGGTCTTTAAACGCAAATGAAACAGCATGAAAATGAGCCAATTCATCTAAAATTAATTCTAAATGATTGTCATCGAATGGTTGTCTTCTGTTGTAACTCCGAAAACCATTTGCTCTCAAATTTTCCAAGATCATAACTTCTCTATTTTTATTCGAAATGATTTTGTAACATTTTGGAACTGATTTAAAGTAATTATCTTCGTTTCTAACAAATTCAAATTTAATAAATTCTGGATAAATGTTTTCATAAAATAGGTATTCGTTTAAATGAATTTTTCTCATAGATTCTTTTACAACTTCATCATTACTTTTAGGGGGGCGTTTTAAAAATAAACTCAACCTTGTTTCTGTGCCATGAATGTTAACGATGTAATATGTTCCCAGAAAGCCTTCGCCGGTTTTTGATGTTTGATTTATTGTAATTACAGGATTTTTTATACCTTCGTTGATTGCTATTGTTTTTAAATCCGCAATAAATTCCATTTTTTTTTAACTTACAACTTCACGAACACTGACTCAATGAATTTTTAAAGTACATTGAAATAACCTTGAAGACTAAACTAGAAATAAGTCCTCAACAACTTATTGTTAAGATTAATATAATAGTTTTATAATGGGTTTGGGAAGTTTAATATTTATTTTGATTCAAAAGGTACATAAAAGATTAAATTATCTTAACAATGTAATTTAAAGTGTTGGGTTTAAAAATTTTCCACTAAATCACATTTTGTTTGGTTTAATTAAGTATTATCAACAGTTATTTTTAATCATTATCTTAAAACGCAGAAAGTATTTAAATTTTGCCGGTTAAATTTGCGCCATCTATTATGATCAAATGTAAATAAAATAGGATAATGTTATTAAAAAAAATTTAATTTAATAATCAATTTCTATAACATATTTCGCAACAATATATCATGAAATCCAGATTTAATTCATAAAGAAACTGATTTATAACTAAAAAAATGAAATAATGATTGATAAATTGAAATAGGAGTACCGCCATCTCTTATTGACATTTTTAATTTAAAACCGAAACAACTTAACTGAACTTAACCTAAGATTTTTCATATAACCTAAGTTTGATTTAATGATTTATAACTACATTTATTATTGAAAAATGCCATTAAAAAATCACCCGGAATGTTTAAAATGTGGAACAACCGAATCTTCGATATGGACAAACGCAGAAAACTTGGGGGCGATTTGTTTAGATTGCGTAAATGAGGCAAAAGATGAAGATAAATCGGAGGATGAGAATAACGATGAAAGTACTAATAAAACCGAAGGAAAATCTTCGAAAAAACGAATGAGAATAACAAGATCGTATAAAACGAGATTAAACCCTTTTGCAATACCAAAAACGGTCGCTCCAAAAGGCCGAGGACGAAGAGCTTTGTTTAAAAAGGTTCCTGTGAAAGCTCCAAGTGCTGTTGCAAGTCCAGTTACAAGTGATCATATATTTTATAAAGTAAATATAAGATTTAAATGGGTTTTTATTATTTTAAGATTAATTCTATTTTAGGATCAATACTTTCAATTGGGTGATATTGTATCTTTAATGGATGAAGACGATAAAGTTTATTATGCTCAATTAAGAGGATTTTTAACCGATCAGTATTGTGAGAAAAGTGCTACAATAACTTGGTTGTTACCAACACAAGAAAGTCCTCCTACAAATGAATGTTTTGATCCAGCTACTTACATAATTGGTAATAACCTTAATGTCCTAAAAATACTTGTAAAGTTCATAATAAATAAAATTTTTGGTGTTGTAGGTCCAGAAGAAGAAGTACCACGTAAAATGAGTTGCATGGAATTTGTGATGCATGCTCCATCAGATTATTATAAAGCTCCAACTACTCCATATCCAATTGTACATCCTCCAGTTGAACCTGGATTTGTTTGGTCAATGTTAAAGCCGATTCAAAGATTATTAGGGTCCAGATAAATAAGTATTTATATATTTTTTAATTTTAACTTATTTGTTAATATATATTTAACAATTTTTAATTAAAAGTATCCCCAGCTCCTAGTGATTTGTAAAACAAATAAGGAAACTTTATCCTTACAAATTAAAATTTGAAAAGGAAAGAGAAAAAGTACTTTAGGTGTATATTATTAAATGAATACTTGTTATAATACCTTACAAACGCCATCCCTTACAATATATGTTAAAACTGATGAAGTACTTGAAGTAGTATTCTCCACATCAGGATTTCCTAACTTGATTTGTTCAAAACAATGAATTTTTACATAAAAAAAGATCTCTGTATCAATATCCTTTTTCGCACCATCCTTACTTCCTCTATCCGAATCTAAGAATCCCATATCACTCACAAATATAATGGGACTTGTGGCGAACATCTGGACGCCCCGCAGCACTCTTTTTCAGGAAGAGGAAGTAAATAGCAAGTTTGAAAAAGGGTATTTGAGGTACAAGTAAATAAATTAAAAAAATACTGATTTTTTTTATTTAAAAGATGGTGTATTATTATTAAAATCTCAATTATTTGTTATTGAAACATTAATGTCGATTTTGGGTTATACTTATAGGCTATGGATATATTAATCCTCCCACGGAATTTAAATTTTCATTACGACTTTTGAATGTTTGTGATGACGATTTAAAAAAAAAAGGTCATCACAGGTCTATATTGAGATGCAAATATTTGGTAATGAAATGGTTTATTGAAAAAACGGGATCTGTAGGAAGAATCTTTGTACTTTTATCTATCAGTTGCCGAAAGAATTAAACTAAAATATCCATTATTAAAGAAACTAGGTCAGGAGTAAGAACTACTGTTTTCCCTATACTTATACGCGCGGTCGAAGGTCCTTAAGAAAAATTTCTTACACCGTGTGCCGTCTCGGTCAATATGACCGAATCAGTTTTTTTGCATCTTAAACGTCAGATATTCGGCATCTAATAATTTTGACCATGTGACTGATTAAGCCGATATAGTAGAACTGTTGCGTGGCGCCAGTTTCTTGCGTACAAATTTAACAGAAAATTAATAGTAAGTAAAAGCAAAAGTACTTAAAAAACCAGTGTCTGTGAGTGGTCACAATATCCTAACAAAACCAACGTGTTCTCAGTGTATGAACAACTTACAATTAATTAAACTAAAACTAGAATTAACACTATCACTAGAACTAACACTAACACTAGACCTAGAAACTTTCGGGTTAAGCGTGCGTTTTTTGAAAAAATGTTTGACGTTTCTTCAGAAACCAGTTCGAACTTGTTTCTGAAGAAGGTTGTAATATGGCATCCGAAACGTCACACATTTTTTCAAAAAACGCACGGCTTAACCCGAAAGTTTCTAGTTCTAGGTCTAGTGTTAGTGTTAGTTCTAGTTTTAGTTTAATTAACACCGGCCGTGAAAGTCTTCGTACTTATAACTTACAATTACTTCCGCGTATGTTCAGGGGTTGATTGCAATGGCGTAAACATACAGAGTTTCCCAAAACTCCCGGGACGGAGCTATAAGTTTTGACGAGTGAAGAAAAAAATTTGAAAATTTGGAGATTAATAAATAGTCATAAAAACTACATTCTTAGATAGTTTAGAACTTCCATGCAATGTGGAGTTTTTTTAGGGAATGACCACCCCTACATTTTTAAATAGCAACCCCTGTCGAGTTTTACCTTATTTTAAAGGTAATTAAAAAAGAAACACAACCCCATAAACCAAAACCCGATATCTTAATCCTTTCAAGAATTATGAGGGGTTGACTACCAACTGGGAAAATAAAATGATTTCATGTTTTTTGCACGTTTATTACGATTTTTATAACAAATGTTCAAATTGTCGACCTTCTTCGGTCTCGCAATGACCCAAACGCTTATAAATGGAATTTTGAACCAGTGGTGGTTTCCTAGTGATTGGAGTAACGAAAATCCACGTTAATAAGAGATCATATTCAGAGATCACAGAAAATTAATGTATGGGGTGGTATTATGGGAGAGAATGTAATTGGCCCATTTTTTATTAATGAAAATTTGGACGGAGACAGATATCTCCAACTGTTAGAAAATCGAGTGGTTCCAAGTGTACGTGCCGTATGCCCTAATGATATTGACAATAACTGGTTCCAACAAGATGGTGCTCCTCCACATTTTAGTCGCGCAGTCCGAGACTTTTTAACCCTAGGATATTTAACCAATAAAATAACTATAGTAACTATAATCTCGCCGGGCCTGAGAGGCCCGGTTTATGCATCCTAGGGTTAAGCCGCATGTTTCCAAACTGTTTAATTGGTAGAACAGGTGAAATTGAGTGGCCACCACGATCTCCTGATCTAACACCACTGGATTTTTTCTGTTGGGAATTTCTGAAAAGTAGAGTTTATGCAACAAAACCAGAATCAATAAATGATTTGGAAAATTTCATATTTGAAGAAACCACCAATATCACTAGGGATATCTCCTGATGGTTTATGAGCGTTTGGGTCATTGTGAGACCGAAGAAGGTCGACAATTTGAACATTTGTTATAAAAATCGTAATAAACGTGCAAAAAAACATGAAAACACTTTATTTTTCCATTTGGTAGTCAACCCCTAATAATTCTTGAAAGAATTAAGATATAGGGTTTTGGTTTATGGGATTGTGTTTCTTTTTCCATTACCTTTAAAATAAGGTAAAACTCGATAGGGGTTGCTATTTAAAAATGTAGAGGTGGTCATCCCCTAAAAAAACTCCACATTGCACGGAAGTTCTAAACTATCTAAGAATGTAGTTTTTATGACTCTTTAGTGATCCCCAAATTTTCGTTCAAAACTTATAGCTCCGTCCCGGGAGTTTTGGGAATCCCTGTATAATATTTCACACAGCGTCGACTCGGTTACTATGACCGAGACACATTTCCACAAATATCTTTACAGGGGTGATAAATAATTGACAATTTTTGTCGTGGGATTTCATTAGCCGTGAATGTCCATACATGAAATATGTTCTCAGTCCCGAACTTAAAATATGTTAAAAAAGTTCTGGCAGTGAACGTGATTTAGGCATATCCAATAGTTTTTAAACATTATTGGGGATGTATTTGAATTTATAAAAATTTCTAGAGGATTTTAAACATGCGTTCCAACATTCTTTAGACAATTTCCAAAACTTTATAGAAGATTTCAAAAGTTAATCAAAACATTTCCGAGATTTACCAGAAAATTATCAGAGATTTTTATATATTCTGGAATTTATATGCATGGCACAAGATTTGCCACAGTTTTCCAGAAAACTTTCAATCGCACTTCGAGTATTTGTAAGTGTTTTCACAGATTTACAATAGATGTTAAGGATTTATAAAATTGCTTTTCAAACATTTACAGAAAACTTTCCAAGAATTTGTGGAAGTTTTCAAGGATTTCCAAGAGTTTTTAATGATTTGTTTGGAAGGAATTGGTTTTCCAGAGTGTTTATAAGATGATTTCCAGTAAGTTAGATGATTCACTTAATGATTTTCGAATACTGCTTGAAATTTTATTGGGGTTTTGATATAATATGGGAGCATTATAGATTTCTAGAAAATTTCTAAGTATTTTCTACGATTTCCAGTAGTTTCTAGGTTTTATTGGAGATGTATTTTAGTTTTCAAAGACATTGTAGAAACTTTCTAATATTCTTTAGATGATTTCCATAATTGTTCTAGAAGATTTTAAAAGTTTTTCAAAACATTGGCAAGGTTTTCCAGAAGTACTCCCTGATGGCACTTAGAAAAAAATCTTGACTACGATTTCAAAGAATTTTTAGAGATATGTAAGGTGTCTTTTAAATTTTCCAACAAATTTCCTAGATTTTCTAGAAGAATACCACACATATTTTGAGAGCATTGCAGATTGTTTTAAATGCTCCACATATTTTTTTATATCTTACTATGTTCAGCAATGGACAATAAGGGTTGGAGAATGATGATGATAATGGTGAATAAAGTGCTCTAATAACTTTTCTTTATGATTAATGTTGATTGTAGGATTCAAATAAATAAAAACTCAAATTTATTATTATTATAATACATGTTATATTGTCGGCAAAAAGTAACATACCATAAAATGGTTTCAATTACAATCCCTAGTTATAATAAAAATTTTCTATCAATAACAATCTACTACGTACACCATTAACAATCTTAACCTCTGTTGATTTTTTTTCATAATTTTTATATTTATTTTATCGTATTTTTCATATATTTTCACGCATTGCTTCGCTGTAACCGCTTTATTAATTTTTTTTTTGTGTAAAATAATAATACTCGACTTATTTTCCACCATTTATTTTTATTAAAACTCCTTATTAGTAGTTTGCGCCAATAAAGAGTTGGAAAGTTTTTAAGAAAAAAGGTAGTTTTTAAAAAAATTTTAGCTGAAAATGTAGGTTATATAAATCGAATAAATTAATAATGATAGTCCAGAGATGGATTTGTAATTTCTCAACTAGTTTAATTATTTATTGTAAACTAATTTATTTTTGATACCAGGTGGAACTATAAATAATCAATTATCTTTCGAATCTTTAATTTATCATTTTAACTCATTTAATGCCATCTCTGGATAACAAAATACATGATTCAAAAACATTCTTTTCTCGCGTCAATGATCAACAATTTTTTTTTTACTTATGCACAATATCGCGTTAACAATAGTAATAGAATCACTAAATAACCTTAATATTCTCATTTTTTTTCGTTTAAACGCTAAGAAGTGTATAATATATACCATAGTTTTTTTTTTAATTTTTTATAGAAGTTAACAGTATTTTCTTCATTTTTTATTAAGCTTCGAAATATTTTTTTTGAAATATTTGATATGCCTATACTACTGGACTAGGTCTGGCTTACACTCTTCGCTTAGTTTATAGGTAAGTTTTCTCTTCTGCGATTTTTTTAATAAATCCCTATAATAACACTTTGAACTACGTTTTCAATTTTTGTATCAGCATTAAAAAGGTTTTATTTTTCCTTGTGGTGAATAATTAAATTATTGTTAAGAATAAACTCAACAAACTCATTATTAAACATTTT